CACATCCATATTACCTTTATTTTTAAGCTGTCTCGTAGAGCACTCTTGGATAAGGCTGTTGTACTTCACTTTTACTTTCAGTGCTATTCTAATGGTTCACTTATTCTAAGCAAGAAGCAAAAAAGAATCAAAACAAATCCTCCTTAATGCTGTACATAATAATAGTAGCTCCCATTATGGAAATTGTTACAAGACCTGAGCATGAATTAAAGACATTATAAAACTGATAGCAACCTATTAACGCAGAGATTTTAATGCTGTTTAAATATCAGCGATCAGATTCACTAATTGTGTTCCATTTGGTTATGCCAATAGTTAATTCACCCTCTTATTTGTTTTATTCTTCCTTATATTTATCCAGTTCGTGTGGCTAAACACACAGGCGTGTGTGCGCCAATCTCTGCAATACATTGCCATAGTGATGCCTTTGGGGCTGCAGATGAATGACAGAGAATTTCCCTGGGCAGAGTGGGTAAAAGGGGCCAGCGTTTCAGTTTCCCCCTTAGATCATTTGATTTCAAAATACCAAATTAATTTTAATTTTAGTACCCAGGTAAAACTATATTTTATCTTGTGTTGCTTAAAATATGACCCGGGTACCTCCTCCTTCAGCCCCAAGTCAGGCAAAATTCTTGTTGACTTCCATGGCAGTTTTCTCTAATTAAAAGATAAGTAGGGAATATAGAATAGGATTCTAAATACTAGCAGCAAGTTTTTTAAAACAAAGCTGACAAACTGATAGACATGTGCTGTGTGTCAGAAGGTCATTCTTGTATCATGATTTCCTGATTGAGATGGGAGTCTTTTTTCCATGTTGTGGTGTTCTACTTCCCACTCCAGTGCCTCTTCATCAGTAGTACCTTTTATAGCCTACAATTCCTTATGGATAAAATGCAATACAAAACATTCACAAGTATTATGCCTACTGTCATTTAAGTGGGATTGCTGCCAACTTGAATATCTTGTATAAAGGAAAGAATGGCTCATTGCAATCATCCTTCTGGTGGATGGGACATATACCTACAAATTTTAGAGGTACAGATTGGGTGGACTCCTGGAAAAGATTATTGAAAATCTGAGGTAGAAATCTTGTAGAATATTTTTCTTTTTTTTATCTTGAATGTTCTCTCCCTCAACCCCTTGCCACAAACACACATGCACCTTATACATACATTCACAGTGCAATGCCTGGCTGAAAAATGACAATAGCATTTTTAAAATAGCACTTCAGGCATGTATGTGCATGTACATGTGTGCATGCATGCGCGCGTGCGCGCACACACACACACACTTTTGTTGGTTTTCAGCAGCATTTTGGTGGGTAAGCCAGCAGAGGGTGCTCTCAGGATAATGATGAAAGTATCCTGCCCCATCTTGTTCATGGCTGGTCAGATTCCATTGGCTTGTTTTCTAAATCTAAATGAAGGCTTCTTTGTTCTTTTACAAAAAACCCCACAAACTGCCCAGACTGTTTATAACAAATCATATGTTTTAGCAAATAAACCCTGTGGTGCTGTTTTAAAATGAAGGCGGGGTCATCCCAAATCCTCACAGTGTTGTAAAAGTGAGCAGCTTGCAAAATTTAAAGCACAGTAGGGTTGAAACTAATTTCTAATACTCCAGAATATTGGAGAGGGTTCAAAAGTCTTTATAGTATGCAGAACCAGATTCCAACACTCCGCATTTTTGGATGCTTATAATCTAGAGCCAGACTGAGCAGCTTGAATGCATCTCTAGATGGAAGGTGTGTGTATTTGTACAATATGTGGCTGCACACCCTTTATGCAGTATGGCAGTATAGTAGTCAAGTCATTCAAATCAGTTAAATGGCTACACAGTTTAAGCATCTCAGGCTTAATATATATCCAAATATAGGAATGTGTTGGAAGTCCGCAAACATGAAAGCTCTCAGCGAACCTTTGTTAGAGCTTTGGATCAGATGCTAGAAGGTGCAGAGCACCTGCATCTCCTGTTGAAACTGGTGAGAGCTGGGTGAGGTCAGCAGCTCCCATGAAGTGTTCCCTTAAGTTCTCTATTTCCCAGTGTCATGGGATAGTTAGCAGCAATGTTAGAAACTCTGCTCTTTGTTCTTATTCCAGTAGACAGAATAAGGACAGGTAAGTTCTGGGTAGCAGAAGTATCCGACACTATCAGTAGTTTATAATAATAAAAAAGAGATACACTTTGTGATTAAGTAATGCACAGCTGGATAGATTAATCACATTATACATTAAGTAATGCTTAAGACTCGTAAACCAGCAATAGGTGCTGAATTTAAAATGTGAAGCCTTATATGAAATACTATGAACTGAATATAAGTGATTCCATGCTATATAGTATGTTGATATGGTGATGCCAACTAATGGGAAGGAAGAATTAGATCTTGTTATTTTACAGAAATCTAATAAATATTTCATTTGTACCCATGTTCTTTTTGCATTGAATTTCAGGTTAAATCTACCACACCCTCAGTCAAGCAAAAGTTTCAGTTAATTAATTTTTAAAACAGGTGATACTATTTGTTTAGAACACTGTGTATCCTGACATGATTGGCAGACGATCTTCTTCCTAATGGCTTTCCCCCCCCTTTTTTTCTTTTTCTTATGTGTGTGTGTGTGCGCGCGTGCGCGCACGTGCAGCATTTAAAGATTTAAGGCAGTATTTGTCAGGAATCTTGCCCTGTTGAAAATAACAAAATATAGTGCCATTTTTGTTTGCTTTCACTAAGGCACAGAACTGGAGAATCAGCGCTGTACATAAGCTGTCTGACCCTGCAGTTTCTCTTACCAGGGGCTCATTTGTATGCAGAGGGGATTAGCCAGAATTTACTGTAGCTTCGCCCTGGGGAGCTGTGAACTCCCTAGGAATATGCTCTGACGAAAGCGTGCAGTTGGTAAGATTAGAACAAACCCTTCTGCTACAGAAAGTGCCTTGGTCACTCACTAGGCCTCCAACATTGAAATCATTTTCATTTATAACCTTTTTGATCATTCAACCTCAAAGCAGCCTTGGCTTTTATGACAGCTTGCACCAAAATTGCCCAATTATTTGGGGGGGAGGGAGAATCTGAAAACAGTCAGATGTGAGAGACAGGGCACTTGATCTGTGCTCATGGCTTTTTCTTCCCTTCTCCTACCAATATTTTTACAGCTGTTGACATATATTGAGTTACATGTGGCTGTGCCATATCCCCATGGTATAGTTTCAAAGATCTGTTCACCATAAAGTGTGCTGTTCTCAAGTAAATGACTCTGACTTCAAGAAAGCACAGTAGTTTAAATGTTACTATAAATACAGGAGCTAAGACATTTTAATTATAATTTTTGAGTTATACAGTGGTCTGTAAGTACACTAGGCATTTACAAAAGAATCTGTGTGTACTCAGGTTACTGTGCTCTCTTGTGGATAAGGCAGTAACTGCAAGCAGCTAATTCTGCTGATCCTCTTCCTTTATTTATGTATGTTTGTACTGTGTTTATTGACAATGAACGTCTTAGGTTTGAGACTTCAACTGCAAGAGCCAAAGGAGGAATAAAACAGACGATTCAGCAAAAAAGGTCTTTCGTTCACAAAATCATATTGTAAAGTCTCAGAAATATTACTTGTATGTAGGAAGTTTTAATGGCTTGATTGTCTTTTAATGCACCTCTAGCCCATATCAGATAACTAGGACAGGTTGAAATAGCAATATTAAGAGAAGTGTCAGGTTTTTGAAAAACCCCAAGGCTCACCCCAGAATGATTGTATTGACTTCACTGAAGCCAAATCTAATTTACTGTGGTGAAAGGGAAAAGAAAACTGGCCACAAATGAGGGCAGTCTTCCTGTGACTAGCAATAGTGGGGAAGAAAAGAATAGGGTAGTCAGGTGCTCTAGAGACTTCTTTAACACTGGCTTGTGTTTTTAGCTGTTTGTTGGTGGCAGTTGTCAAGGCTCTTTCAGTTGCCAACAGGAAACACCCAGGAAAAAACTTCTTAGTATTGTGTAGTAAAGGCCAATCCTGATTATCAGGACAAAGATTTCCAGCAGAGAAAATACGGACAGAAAAAAAAAGTGATACCATTTTACAGTTCTACAAGTTTACTGCAAATCATGGTGAGGTGAACCAATGGAATTGCTTTTTCTGTCTGCTCCTGTACTGGTTGTAAGGGGAGCTAAACCACTGTAACTTTAAACTTCAGTCAGATGTAAAGTTATAGCACCCATAGGGCCATATTGAGGCTCATTAGAGCCAAGAAAAAAGCTTCCACTCACTTCAGTGGGCCCTTGATTACTGATAACATATTTTAGAACACATAGTATACTGATCTGCATAAATTAATAAATAACATACATAATAAATAGCATGCAAGCAGTAAATTACATGTAGTGTTTGCCCTTAAAGACTTCTGGCATTCGTGGAGGAATTCCCCACGATATAGGGCGTACTTCTGAAAACAGGAGTCTTTCAGAGCTGTAGATCATTATGTGCGTCACTGTAGACCGTGTTCTTCTTTAACCATTACATGAAGCATCATGGGGCTAGAGGAGCACAGTATCATTCCGTTTACAAGTGTTTTGCAAGCTTCAAGGGTAATAACTGACTACCTGAATCCACCAGATTGGCTATCTTCTCTATGGTCTTAATCCATTCAAAATCAGAATAGATAAACTTTCTTAAGCCAGGAAGGTGTTGAGAAAATATTGACAAACTCTTGTCTTTTACGAGAGATTGGCTGGGTGAGAACAAGATGCACATTTTTTACTGTGACATTAACTTTTTATAAACCAATCTTTTCTGTTGTGAAAATTATGTACAATAATTATGTTTGAAAAGTATTTCTTTCTCCCTCTAACCTCATGCTTTTTCTTAAGAGAACTAGGGGCTTTGTCTCCAACATCTTTCAGATAATTACTGTATCCGTTTCAGATTGGCTCTTTTTTGAGTGAAAGTGCACACAGTTGATGTGAATGATGACAGGATACATAGGGAGTTTCAGACTGATTTATTTGTCCCTATCATAAAATTTCAGACGGGCAAAGGTCTGGATGTTTGTGTTTGCTTTATTTGCTGTGATGGCTTCCGTTATCTGTGCCAGTTAAAATAGTCATCTTCTTGAGTGGCTAATTAGATGAACATTTTAATGAGACACTAATATATACTAGGCCATATGCAAATAAATGTTCCATTAATTCATTTTATGGATGTATTTGGATATAAAAGTCAAACACAACAGTAAAATAAGTCCCAGCACTTGGATGTCTATTACCTTGCAACCGGATGTTTGACTTTGAATTCTTCAAAAGGTGGCGCTTCAATTCTTAGTATTCATTACTCCATCCTTCAGGGATCCCAAGGATGCTTCTTTTTCCCGCTACTGGCTTTCCCGGTTTTTAGCTTCTTTTTCTACCTCCTTCAGTAGAACCTAGTTGCTTCAGTGGAATGAGTCCTGCCCACTCAGAGACCTGGATAACACATAAATAATGCAGCTAGAATATTTACTTGCTCCAGGCTCAACCAGTCAGGCTAGGGACAGAAATTACACATTAATCAGTATAAGTGATTGGAAACCGGTTCAAATCTGTAACACAACAGGAGTGCAGTGCACATAAACAGCTTTTAAAATGGCCAAAACTAGTTTAAGATAAATCTGGATGGATGTTGTATCAGACTCAACTGATCCAGATTCAAGTTCACTCACAGTTCCCCAGCATCTCAGGATGCTTTGCAGGGTGAGTGGGCTAGCCTTGCCCCAAGCTATCTGCTCCAGCCAACCAGGGAGGTGTGTTCTAACACCCCCCCGGCTTGTGGCCTGGGCCACTGTAGGCATGTGGCTGCATTTCCAAAATCAAAAGTGAATGTCTATTTATTTGCTCAAGTGTGTGGCAATATACCTAATAATTCAGGGTCTGCCATGTAGAAGCATAATGTGTTGTTAGTGGGTTAACCTAGTTTCTGCCCATTTCACTGGTGCTGGAGGGTCTACCTCAGCATTCTTCAGTGAAAATGGAAGGAGGTTTCACATAGGCATCCTTCTTCATCTTTTAAATGACTTGTACTTGTCCTTCTTGGTTAAAATAAAACTTAAAATGTGTCTTCTAAGATGCAGACTGACATGTTTCCTTTATAAATTCTTGTGGATTACTATTGATTTTTGACTGTGGTTTTCGAAATCCTTCCTCTAGGACTCTTGAGATTTCCCTGCTGCAATAATAATGTATTGTCATTTTTAATATCTCAAATCGTTGACACAATATTCATATTAAACCACAAAAAACTACATTAGAGTAACACTAAAGGTCTGACTGGAACCCACTAATGCAAGGAAAATCACAGTCAAGGCTGAAAATCAGGGTTGACACCATGGAAACTCATCCCATTGTGCTTAGGCATTGCAGTACATTTATGATTGTAAGATCACTTACTCTTTAGAGATCAATTCCTAGGTACAGCAGAGGTTAGTTATGAATGGGTTGTTAGTTGTTAGATTTACTACTGTAACTTAAAATTTTCTCCTTTTGTGGGAGAAAAAGCACTACTGAAAGTTATTTTAACATAATTTTATCCTTTTAATTTCCACTGTCCCTCTTCCTTTCACTCTCTGTCACACGCATACATACTGTAATACGGTATTAGTATTAAAAAAAAAAAAGAAACCCTATATTTTGCATTTCAGCTCTGTTTAGAAAATAATACTGCACCAATTAGGCTCAGGTCAATAATCAGCAAAATAATATACAGCCAAGTTTTGTTTTAGTCGCACACAAACACAAATACTTTTTCAAGAATCCAGCTATATCTTTGGGCATTTATAAGTTTTTCTGTTTAAAACTATGCCTTATTGATCTACATGGTGTAAATAGGTTGTCATAGGAGGACTGCTATCATTAAAGTTATGTTAAGGCTCTAGTTTTAAGTCTGTGTTTTTATATATTCACAAGCTTCTGAATCATGCTCTCTGGGAGATGAAGTTTCTCAGCCTTGGTGTCATCCTACATGTGATTTCTCCCTGGCTAAGTTTGAGCATACCTCCATCCTTTGTCTGTTTTTTAGTTGCACAATAGCAAAACTCCATGGAGTCATTGGTAAAGAGGAGGGAGATTTGCCTTATACCGGGAAGACACTGGAAGGGACATGTGCACTGATGAAGTCTTCCAAAGCACAGTGGTTGCTGGTTCACTCCAGCTTGTGTATGATTCTCTGTTGGTCCAACCCACATACACACCAGCAGGGGAGCAGACTAACCTGACAAAAATAAATCAGATAGATGAAATGTGCAGTCTTTGAGTTACATCACTGTACTTTTGAAATGCCCATATTGGCAGGCTTTGAAAATGTGTATTAAAGCAATCATCCCTTTTCATTTATTCTTCTCAATCATGTTTTAATGTTCACATGAAAGCACAATGAAAACGGCCTTTCTAATTCATTAAAGTAATGTTAAAGGATTTCTTTATAACTCACAAGTATTCATTTTGTCATTTAAATATATTTAGGAGCTTTAAAAATGCATACTGATGATCTTCACCTTGTTTGGGTTCCTTTTAGCTGTCAAGGCATAACTGTCTCTTGAAACACGGGGTTTATAGACCAAAACATAAACACAAGTGCATATTCACAATTGTACACCTTTTGTGTAATGTGAATCAATAATTTTCAAATATTGACTTCTGTTGAGGTGAATATCAAGATTTATTGACTTTAAGTAAATATTTACCAAGGTTTCCTCAGTCTTTATCTGCCTCCATGGGTCAAACTGAGCCCTTGTGTAAGTAAGCAAGATTCCACTGAAGTCTGTAGAATAGTTCTGTGTGCAGGAAGTATCCTGCTAAATCTTGGTATTCAACAGTGTTTTAAGTGACTATATGTAAATACTGTATGTTCCAAACATTCAGAATATCTTGTCAGAAATTATGACAAGTCTCAACTTTATCACTCTGATTTTTAAGTCGCAGCAAAATTTCAATTAAAGTATTATTATAAAGGGCAGATGAAGTTACAGGTTCAGCAAAAATTATTATTATTTCCCTCTGGAAAGATAGTAGCTTTCACTGAGCTCTCTGCAGGCACTTGAGTTGGATAACTTAATAGAAAAGGTACATAATAGAAAATTACTGACTCATCACCAAACTTTTGGGTGTTTACCCCATTATGAATCACAAATTATTCTCATTTATGCAATAATCCTAAATGGGCAATAAAAATAGCATGGAAAGATGATAGTCAGAGAAGTCACATCTCAGAATATCTTATCTGGATGACTTTATTTGTTTTGAAAAGACCAAGAAGAGCTAATTAAAGTAATACACAAATGAGCTGCAGAACTCTTTAAAAAGAGAGAATCATTAGTGAGAGATTTAGAAACCTAACCCCACACAAGCTTTTGTGTCATTTTGCATTTACAAAGTGAGGACGGTATTGCAATGAATAATGGTTACAGAAATGTGACTCACTGGCTTTATTCATAGCTTTTTGTTCAAGAACGTATAACAGTAATACTCAGTTAATAGCCATTAGAATGTAAGAATGCCATTTACTGGGTCAGACCATAGGTCCGTCTTGCCCTGCATTTTGTCCCTCATCCAGTCACGTCTTCTGGAAGGGTTTCATTGAGTAGTGTCCACTGGCTCCTTGTCTCATTCAAAGGCCACTGGACACTTTTTTATACTTTGCTTGGTATCCCCCCTCAGTGCATTCATTTTGAATCTGTAGCCTCCACTCCCATCCCTGTTATGTTTTTAGCTGTCCCAAGAAATTAGTTGTTGCTTTCCCAATGGCCTTCCCTTTTAAGGGAGGCTTATAGTTTCTCTCAGTGGGCATTGCTCCATGATTCCTCTAAAGCAGTGAATAGGCTTGTGATACGCAGTGGCTCAGTGGATGCTAAAAAGGAAAGTGAACCTGAGCTTTTTTCCCCACTGTTCCTCTCTCCCTTGCAGCTTCAAGCCTGTAGTTTTCAAGAAATTTTTGCATCAACAGTGTTCTGCAGCTGGTCATATTGCCCCTATTATGGAGGTTTAAAAGGGATCTGAAAAATGGGAGCCTTTCTAAGTCTTATAAATGCCATTACAATGAAGACAGGGTAGATTTGCAGCTTATAGACCAGTAGTGCCCAGTCCATGGGCTGGATGAGCAGTTCTTGGTTTGTGGGCTGGATGAGTGGTGCCAGGTCTATCCATAGGTCAGGTCCGGTCTGTGTGCCTGATCTGGTGTGTGGTGTTGGCACAGATGGGGCCCAGGCCAGCTGCCTGGGGCCCAGCTGGGGCCCCATGCAGTCTCAGGTGGCTAAGCCCAATACAGCTGTGTGGAAGTGTCTCACCAGGGCCCAATTCAGCCCCCTGGGGCCCAATCCTGATTGGCTACCTCAGGCCCCAGCTCCCTGTGACTGCATCAGGTCCTGACCAAGCTGTTTAGACATGGCTGGATCAGGCCAATCCAGCTGCTCAGGAATGGGACCCCATCCGCCTGTGCGGGGTCAGCCTAATTGGGGCCAATCCAGCTGGATAAGGCTTGGAAATTCAGTGGTGGAGGAGGGGTGTCAATGTTAATTACTACCATTCCCCTAGCACCAAATTTCCAGTCATGGGGTGCCCTGTGGGCTGGATTCCCCAGCTCCACTGGTCATATCTGGCTCACAGACTGAGGGTTGAGCATCCCTGTTATAGATTTAACTAAATCAGAGATATGTATAACATAAGCTGCTGTGAGCCCAAGTGCACTTCATTAAGTTATTAAAATGCCAGCTCTTAAATTGTCACAAACAGCAGAATGTTGAAAGTGAAGAAACAAACAAAATAACTGGATTATTTCTTTTTGATGAGGCAGATGTAAATTTTAATTTAAAGGTGATCAGTACATAATCCCAAGGGCTGATTGATATATCAAGAAGCCATCAGCTACCTAGTTAACCAGTGTCAAAGCCACAGCTTCCTGGGAATTGTTCCAGTGGGTTTGCACTGCTGGCCGTCCTTCAGGGAGAGAGACATTGATTAGCTCTAGCTGGGTGCTCATGTCTTTCAGATCCCATTACATTTAATAGGAATTGAGGGGCTTGTCATATTATACAATCAGGCCTCACTAAACCAAATATTGATGTAAAGGCAGATACGGTGTTTGATTTTTTGAGCTTCTACAACTTCCCATGCAGGACAGAATGGTATGTGGCACAGTATTTAGGAACCAGCCTTGCCTAGATTACCGAACTGTAGCCATGTACAGGAGCATACTCTTTTAGTCAATACAGCTTTAGTAGTGGGATGAATGTCAAAGGGAATATTTTGTGACAGTTCCTTGTGACCCAGATTTCATAGAAGTCTTGTATAAAATAATCTTTGAGTGAACACTACTCACATTGTGTCCTAAGAACCACCTCAGCCCCATGAATCCAAAGCCAGGACTAAAGCTGCTGTTCATTGGAACATCTGTGACTTTCCATCTGAGAATTTTTGTCTTGTTTGATAGTTCAGTC